AAGTGAAAGTGAAGGTCATGAAATTAGGGAGAGGCTTGGAGGCTGCATGCATGGCTTCTGCCTATGACAGGCAGTGTCATGGATGCTTGGTGACATTCTGTGAGCTAAGGCAGATGGAGAGTCCGTACACTGCAGTGGAAAGAGAACTGGAATGAAACGCAAGCAATCTCTACACTGAGCCCAATACTGCCACTGACTAACCATGTTCTCTGGTGTAAAAAAAAAAGCACACAACAGGACTAGATACACATACTGTGTGATCACTAAAGAAACTGATGAGTTATTGAGACAATCGCAGTGTCTAGAAAGGGATTACTGATAGTTTTGTGTTGTGAGTACCATATTTTCAGATGTTCCGGACAAGTTTACAAAGGTGTAAGAACATTGTAATCTTTATTTGCTGTTATATCCATTCATCTATACATATATGTGTATGCATATATGAACTGAAAGCCTACTGTCTACTATTTTTATCACTGTTTATAGCAGTAAGCAAGATAAATCAAGGTCCTGCATTCATGGGGTCGACAGTGTAGTGAAGGTACATAGATAGTAAACATGAAAAAAAAATAGTACAAGTCAGGAAATGGACAAGAGAAAAGAGGCGAGGCATGTGGGCCAGGGTGAACAATTATAGAATTCATTTGAGGTGATGTTTCAGTGCATACTTGAACTACAGAGAGGGGTTTGTGCCACAAACTAAAGCAAAAGCATGCCATGGAAGGGAGGCAAGCCCAAGGGTGCTGAGCAGAAATGGACGTGTCATGTCAAAAAGCCAATCTGATGGGAGAGTAGCAAATTAGGGTACATGGTAGGAAGAGCTGTTATGGAGTCAGGCTGAAGCTACCATACTACTTTGGGCCTTTTTGAAAGTGAGAAACAATTGGATTTTATTTGCAATAGAAAGACTTTAGACGTATTTAAATGGAGGAGTGATAAAGAACCATAGCATCAGAAAGTCCAAAGGTATTTAAATATTTCAGTTAAGAGATAATAGCTTTTAGGCTGGGGTTGTACCAATGGAGAGGATGACAAGTGGTAACATCTGGACCTCTTTTGGAGGCAGAGTCAACAAAAGCATAATTAGAAATAAAAATAATGCACTCCACTCTGACCTATTAAATCAGATTTCTGGGAATGGGGTTCAGGAAGCTCTGCTTACCAAGCTCTTAGATACTCTCCCTTGTTAAATTTGAGAACCATGGGCCTAGAATCAGAGATCTAAAGTCCTGTCAATTCCTAAAACCCTATTGTTCTCACAGAGAAGAGATCGCCACAAGATCCAGTCAATGAGATAAAGATGATTGCCAGCACCATGTTTGGTGGCTTCTTGGAGGACTTGAAAAAAAAGAAGGTGTTAGATAAGCAAGAGTTACAGACAATAGGGAAAAAAGTGAATGGCATCGTGAGTAAGACTGAAAACCTGGTTGGCGATTTCACCGAGAAAACTCAAATGGTAGGAAAAGTATTTATGGACCATTTCATCAATTCCAGGAGTCTGCTGAGTTTAAGTGAGTATCTTGGGCCAAAGGAATACTAACTTATTCTTTACCTGCTCTCTTATGCAATCTCTGTCTTCTTATTTCTATTTGCAAGGGGAGAACAAACTATCCACATCTTTAGTACTTTCTTTGCCTGATGAACTTATATAAGATGGCAAAAGGCCCCGGGCCCCCCTAGTCCATGTGGCAGCATCCAAAATCACTTTATACTCCTACATGTCTTGCTTTTCCCTCAGCAACTGTCACCTTCCATCATCCCTTAACATTTCTTATTTGCTGCATTATATCTCCCTCTGCTAAAATGTAAACTCCATGATGCATGGAGCTATGTCTGTTTTGTTTATGAGGAGAGCCCCAAGTATGGAAATGGCACCTGACACGTAATAGGTGCTCAGTAAATACTTGTGAATTGCATAAATGGTGCTGGAGCTCTAGTAAATTCAGGGACCATCTTTAGCTAATCTGTGCTACTCTGGCCATACGCTGTGGACTCCAGAGTTATTCCCACATGTAAAATGTTCAATAGAAAACAAAACAAAACAAAACAAAACAATCCACTGTCCCCTGCTTAGCTGTGGCTTGGCTCAAGGGATAAATCTCTGAGAACCCACGATGTCTTTGTTAAAGGAGTACCTAGGGAATCTGAGGGACATTAGTGGAACATAAGTGTGTCTTTCTCTCTGAAGCATGGGTTGGCACACTCTCTCTTTGAAGGGTCAAGAGAGTCAATGTTTTAAGTTTTTTTGGACCAAACTTTCTGTCACAGTGACTCAAATCTGATGCTGTGGCATAAAAGTAGCAATAGACAATAAGTATAAAATGACTGTGGATGTGTCCCAATAAAGCTTTATGGACCAAAAAACTGGTGTTGAACTGACCTTGGCCTATAGGCCAGAGTTTCCTGACCCCTACTCTAGAGTACAATATATACATGAGTGTATTCCCAATATTTGGAACATCCTTCTGGGATCATTTTGTGGCTGCTGAAAGACTACCAAACATTATAGAGCTGTGTACATTCTTTCCTCAGAACGGAAAATGCTATTGCAGAAAAGCCTTGATTAAAGAATTTGATTATTCCTTGAATTATATAAGCAGGAACATAAGGAGCTCTTCATTGTTTCATGGAAACTCTGCCTCCTCCTTCACACGGCACAAAGTCAGAGTCCTGTAAGACAAATCTGAAGCTTAGAAAATGAGCCAAATGTCCATGCTTCATAGGGTAACCCCATGCCGAACATCATCACTTTCTTGTGAGTGCAAGGGAAAGAGTTTCAACTGTGTAGGTTCTAGAAACCTAGTCCTGCTAACAAATCTTTTCCTATTCTTTCAGAATCTCATGCTGAAAATGAAGATGATGAATCTGAGAGCAGCGAGTCATCTTCTTCTCTGACAGGTAAGTGTGTTGAAATCTCACATCACAAATGAACACTCTCAAATGAACCACTAGGGCTGTCAGAAGGCACTGTAGTTAAGACCTAGGAAACTGTGGTTTTAGTCAGTTTCCATCTCTGGAAATAATTTCAGCGTAGAACATTGATCCTTAACTTTTTGTTCATTCCACCTCAGAATCTGAAATAATCCTGAAGGAAGTGGAGAAGAAGAAAATGCTGAGTCATCCCAGACACTGGCTCTCCCTCTAGCAGGTGCCACCAAACCCAGTGGCTCATGCAAACCCTCAGACCTCACTCAGGGTAGGGCCCTAAGTGATCGGGGCCCTCAGTTACAGTGGAGAGACCAGAGATGGGTTCAGAAATTCCAGGTTATTTCTTCCTTCTGTGCCTACCCGTGTCAAAGGAAGGTCAGCATTTAATCCCCCACTCATCCATCTTCTAAGAATCTGGAAGTGAAAGTGAAGGTCATGAAATTAGGGAGAGGCTTGGAGGCTGCA